TGGCGCTGGGAAAGCTCGGCCGGGTCCCGGTGGTGCTTTGTAGCCGGTGCTGAGCTCTCGGTGCGGGGTCTTGCACATGTTTTTTCTTCCAAGCAACGCTGCAGGCAGGAAAAAGCACCGGGGGAAAGGCTTTTTTCAGCGGGCAACAAGATTTTGGCATATTTTGTGGCTTTATTTTAATGTTTGATTGTGGGGAGGGTGCTGCAGCGGCTGCCTCGGTCGGAAGAGAAACTGCTGGGGATGTCCCACGCTTGTGGTGGCCGGATCCAGCTCATCTCACAGCGTTGTTGAACATCACTTTTTCCTGGTGGTGGATTTATGGGCTGGAAGGGCCGTGGGGGAGTGGGTTTTACAGGTCTTGTTTGCCCCCTTTGCAGGGAGTGAACTCTATATTAGTATCCAATTAATGATATATTGATATCAAGGGGGTGTCCCCAAAGTGCATCCAGTCTGTGAATTAACCCGCAGGTGTTTCTCCTCCTCTCCAGGACAGAGGACCAGAGCAGAGCATCATGAAGCACCCTGAGAGCCAACATCCCTGAAACACCCATCGCCTCAGGGAGGACCCTCTGGAAACCACACGGGAAGGGAAAATGAGGCTTTTCCGGAGACGCTACAGCCCCTTGAAGGTGGCTTTGGCAGGTGCCATCTTCGTCATCTTCCTCTTCATCCTGCAGAAGGACGTGGGGAACAAGGACCCGCGTGAGGAGCCCTGGTTGAAGAACATCGTCCAGGGGAAGGACCAAGTCCTTGATCTGATGCTGGGGGCCGTCAACAACATCCGGGACTCGATGCCGAAGCTGCAGATCGGAGCCCCGGTTCGGCAGGAGGAACCAGCCCCCAGCGCTCGCTCCTGCCTGCCCGGTGTCTACACAGCGGCGGAGCTTCGGCCACTGATGGAGAGACCCCCCCAGGACCCTGCCAGCCCCGGAGCTGACGGCAAAGCCTTCAAGAAGGATCGATGGACACCGGAGGAGACGAAGGAGAAGGAGAGGGGGTACGAGAAGCATTGCTTCAACGCCTTCGCCAGCGACCGCATCTCCCTCCAGCGAGCGCTGGGACCCGACAGCCGCCCACCCGAGTAAGAGCCCAGGGAGCCTGGTGGGGCTGCAGGCTCCATCCATGGAGAAATGTAGTGGGAAATGGAAGCGGATCGGGGACAGCATGGCACCAGGCATCAGCAGGGGATCAGGCACAGGGGGAGCTGGAAAACCACCTGTATTTATGAGTTTCCCCCCGGTTTTGTCCCCTTGCCATTGGTTT